AGGGGTCTAGATAGGTGAAGGCCTTTTTTTTTTTCGTTAATGTTGTGAAATACATTTACGCTTATCACCTGCATACAAACACGTCGTTATGTTATACTTACAGGCTAGAGAAGCCAGTACTACCTACTAAAATTCAACAGAGCCCCCCCTCCCCGTCTTAATAGGGTGTCACAGGATCGCTTACGCCTGAAGAAAACCAACGAGTTGCTCCCACGGTCCAACTTGTCGACTAGACTATCTCGAGAAAATGTTTTCAAAAGATTCAAACCACTTGTGGTCTTTTAGCTATACCAAAAAACGCATTATAATGATACTGCATTTCATCAATACTACATATAAACTTAAACAGTTGCATTGTAATTCACATAAGCAGTAAAGCATTTAATTATTTATTAATGTTCCTTTTGTAAAAAAAACCTTTTTTTAAACACAACATGCTCAAAACAATCCTTAGTTTTTTTTATAAAGGCTGAATATATTAGCCGGTCATTTTATGTAGGTTTTTGTGCTATTTTACGGTGTATATATAAATGCGTTAAATATATTTTAGATTACTTTGGTACGATACAAGTATACAAAATGTTCACAGTAAGCGCACTAGTGCTTATATTTTCATTGTTTATCTCTTGTGAGGCTAACTACGGTGAGCAATTTTTACCTATTATTTTATATTAATTTTTAAAAATTTATATGTCAACATTTTTATTAAAATGATGATTTTTAATTAAAATATTTGGATTTTTTTCGGGAGATAGTGACCCGTGACCAGGATTTCTGTAAAGCATTTGAAACGTCGGGAACCAAAAATCAAAATAAATCCAATCCAACAAATAGTTTTATTTAAAATGACAAATATTCGCGAAACTCTAAGAAAGTAAAATAATAATTTATTGATCTCTAAAATCATATTTAAAATCATTTTTAATTATATTTAGTATCACAAGATTTTATTTATTAGTAAATATTTAATATCCTGTTATTTTTTTATTATTTTCACAAAGCGTTTTTGATTAGTGCATTGAAGTTAATGGTATCGATCCCAGATCAATATAAGTGTGTTTCAAGATATAGTAATGACATTTGCCCTACCTCCTTTTAAATCAATAAACAATTGAGGGAGTGTAGCCGCAGAAACTCTGCTTCTTTATGGATAGAGATTTTTGTAAACTCTTTACCATCAAAAACATAAATGTGAAAATGGGAGCAAAGTTCAATATTAAGAATAAGCGTGGTTGCCAACTTCATCGACAAAAGAATTGAGATCTAAATAGGGGACAAGTAATGATTTTTTAATATTTTAAATAGATGTTGAGTTATTACAAGGTGAAAAGTGGCTCCAAATGGTTCGTGTAAAATACATACACACGGTGCTGCATTGCAAGTTCCTTTGGATTGAACTTGGCTGGGCACGGTACCGCGTGTCTTGATATAGTGTTGGAACTGTACTGTGTATTAGTAATAATAGTATGTGTGATTTGCTGGCATGTAAATAATTTAATTTTATAACGCCAAGAGTAAAGATAAGGATAATTTACTATTTTCATCAAAATTGTGTGAAGATAGTTGGGCTGGAGAGTGACTACTTTTTACCACGGGAGATCATCTAATTCCCATGGGGCAACACGTTATAATACAATTCAAAATAATATTTATGATCAGAATTACTTGAAACTTGGTATTAATGCTCTTCAATAATATTAAATAAAAACGTGTTTTAGCATTTTTCGAAATTCATCCTATAAGGACGTAAAATAGGGGATGAAAGTTTGTATGAAACTATCTTTTTAGAGATTTTTTTGTAATTTTAGTGCGAGCGAGGCCCGGGTTTTGCTAGTAAAATATAAATAATGATATAATTTTGCCTAATCTATACTAATATTACAAGGAGGTAAAGTTTGTGAGATTGTGAGTTTGTAGGGGGTAATATCTGCATCTACTGAACCAATGTAGATGAAATTTGGTAAGAAGATAGTTTGAGACCCTGGAAAGGACATAGGATACTTTTTATCCCGGAAACCATCCCTTAAGGGGGTGAAAATGGGGATGAAAGTTAGTATGGGGAATCAAGCTAGGGACGAACCCAAGCCAAGCGAGGGTGAGTCGATGGTAACATTACAAACCTGTTAGTTTTTTTTTAAAGTATACTAAGAGTTTTTAAAAAATACTTGATTATATAAAACAACACCTACTGTCTTTTGACAAAATATGATCATATTTATTGTTTTTAAAATATGTATTTTATTATAGCGGACAACCTCCCACAATGCAGCATAAAAGATACAGAATGTATAAAAGGAGTATATCAACATATGATGAATAGCATTGGGAGTACTGGGGCCGAAGAATTGGGGATCCCTGCACTAGATCCCATGATTTTAAATAACATATCTGTAAATCTCATGAAAGATCTCACTATCACTGTTAGTGAAGGCACAGTGAAAGGCATGAGAAACTGCGTATTTAATACCTTCAAGTAAGTTATATTAAAGCGTTTTTATAAAAATTACCGTGCTACTATTTTATAATAATAAACGTGCTACACCGACCCTTAAAATCATTAGTGCTACTGTTTATAATAACGTCCTGCTTAAGCCTTTTGAAGAGTCAGAAAGATAATATTATAAGTTGGTCGGTACAGTGATGCAAGTAGATTAAACAGTTCACCATCCTGTGGAGTTCCTTAACATTGCTAACCGACCAGGCCTCCTTTCTCATAAACTTCTCCTGAAGGTTGGCACACCTGTAATGAATAAGCCACCTAAGCTACGTAACGGGACTATATTGCAAGTAATCCATAAAACATTATAATGGCCACTGTGTTTGTTGGATGTGCTCGAGGCTAATCAGTATTCATGTCTCGAATACCACTGATAACCTCTGACTACGCCTTTGAATTTAGCAGGCATAGACATAAAAAAATAAGAATGGCACTTTAAAGTAACTTGAATAAAGGGAAAGATGGGAGATTGTAAGTTTCAGGTGTACATAACATTGAAACTATAAAAATAACGTAAATGAACCTGGAAGTACATTAGTTAAAAAACCATATTAATCGAGTAAAATGATTCGTCGTCAACATGATATGTATATGTAATATTGTACTCATTACATTTGTTTTCCATAATATCTTGAAGAAATTATATAAAACGCGAACTTATTTTTGCAAATAATAAAATATGTATTGCGAAAACGTAAAAAAATATTTTTGTGTAAAATTTTTGTAAAAACAATACAATATTCGATGGTACGGAACCGGATGCGTCAGTCAAAATCATATTCATAATCATACACATTTGAAAAACATTAGAGAAATCAAATTATTACTAACTAGCATTGCCCGCGGCTGCGCCCGCATTCAGATGACCAAAAACCAAATCCTTAGGTTTTACATATTACTATATTCTTTCATTGCAGTTTGAGTATTTTTTTCTCAGAAATGAGACATTTTCCCGCGGTAAAAAGTATCTTGACCCGGATAACCTGCTATCACCATACCAAATTTCATCAAAATCCCTCCAGTGGTTTTTTTGTGATGCGGTAACAGACAGACAGATAGACAGACAGATAAAAATTCTAAGAACTATCGGCCTCTGTATTGATAATAATGGATATTTCAATAAATTTTTCCAAAAAATATTTTATGTATAGCTTATTTACAATTTTATTACATGTATATCTATACTTATTATAAAAATAAGTCCCCCGGCCGCGTCTTTCTGTCCTCCTGTCTGTCCTCCTGTCTGTCTGTACGCGATAAACTCGAAAACTACTGAACGGATTTTTATACGGTTTTCAACAATAGAAAGAGTAATTCTTGAGGAAGGTTTAGGTATATAATTTATTATGCTTTTATGTAAATTAGCTGAAATACGGCGACAAATGTTGAAGAGGTCGCAAAAAATCTCGCCAAATGGGAACTTTCCACGCGAACGCCGCGTAAACTAGCAAAGATACAGTTAAGTAATGTACTAGAGAATTCAAAATCTATAAAAATGCTACAAAAAAGTCCGCGATAGCATATCTCTATCTCTTACGGTTGACTTACAATAACCACTTTTATGTTAACATTTTTAATTAAAAACATTACGTTATTTTCAAAGTTATTTTCTTTAGTTCGGTATTAATCCTTATCCAAATGGATATTTTAGTTAGCTTAGTCATTTAATGCAGATTAAAATTGCTCTTTACACTAAATCAATCAGATGAATAGTTTTTGAGATATCGTTGTTAGAAGTAATTAGTAGCGAAACATTTTTAATGCTTGGCGAGCATTGAGATGCCTACGGCGAGTCCATCCCCTCTGCCCCGCATCGCTCGACCGCCTGCTCAAGCTATATAAACCGGGCGATGTAGCGCGCGATCCTAGGATACTTTTTACCGCGGGAAAATATCTTATTTCTGAGGAAAAATACAAAAACTGCAATGTAAGAGTATACTAATATGTAACACCTAAGAATTTAGTTTTTGGTCATCTGAACGCGGGCGGAGCCGCGGGCAATGCTAGTATAGGATAAAACCAAAGAGTTTTTTTTTTGTAGTTTTGGCTCGAGCGAAGCCGCGAGGTCTGATAGTTCTCAATAACACTGTGACCGAAGACGGTTAAGAACATAGGTACTAATATTATTATGGAGAAGGCAGATTAACCGGCGAATTTTTTGTATACATTATCGATAGTCTCCCTATATAACTCTTTCCAAATAATATTTTGATATACAAAATATGTGTATATTATGTATTTTTTTTAAATGTCTTAAATACAATATGTTAATACGTTCTATTTTTTAGGATCGATTGGGAAAAAGAAAAAGGATATTTAAATGTAACGTGTGACGCTTTATCTGTCAAAGGTAATTTTGTAGTATCTGGTGAAAATAAACAGATACAGAGTATTATTGGTAGCAACAGTCTAACCGGTGACGGTCGAGCCAAAGTAAAACTAGGTGAGTAATATGTGTTATTATTTCATTAAAGAAAATATAAAGACTGAAATATTTCATTAATTACTAAATAAACCTTGTCGAACTTTAGCAAGAAAATGTTAAAATGTTACAGAAAAAACTAATTATTTTTAACATACTCTTATTACGTAAAAGCTCTACATCTCTAAGGATTAAATAAAACTAAAAAAAAACCCGATTGTACATTTTTTTTTGTTTAAAATACATCTAGTACAAAAGGGAGTAAGAAATTATTTCATTTATTATATTCATACTTATTCAATATTACAAATATGAAAGTGTGTTTGTTTGTTTGTTTGTTTGTTTGTTTGTTTGTTTGTTTGTGTGTCCTTTTTTCAAGTCGAAACAGAGTGACGCATTGTCGTGATTTTTTTGTGTGGAGATAGTTGGAGGGCTGTAGAGTGACATAGGCTACTTTTTACCGCGAGAGCTTCTCTCATTCCCACGGGAAAACACATTATAATACAACCCAAAAAATATTTATGATCAGAATTACTTGATACTTTGTATTAATGCTCTTCAATAAGCAAGTATTAATTAAATTAATACTTGCTTAAGCATATTTCGAAATTCGTCCCGTTAGGCGGTAAAATAGGGGGATTAAAGTAAATATGACACCTACCGTTTTTAGAGTTTTTCTATAGTTTTAGCACGAGCGAAGACGCTGGTTCTGTTAGTATATAATTTTCTTTTTTAATTTATAGATAACACGAAGTTGAACATCGAATTTTCAATTACTTTGAAAAAGAAAGATGATGGTGACATTTACCTCTCGGTTTCTAACAAAAATATAAAATATACATATGACATTGGAAAGGCGCATTTTGTAATTGAAAAAGTCGTCATTGCTAACAATGACTTAAGTAAGTAAAATTAGTATTTTAAAAGAATTTTACTATATTGTAATTTAATTTTACAATATCAATAGCTGATGGATATTATAATATATTTTTTAACTCATCCATATCTCGTGGCTTCATCTTTCTACCCAATTTTTCCGCTTCTCCTAGGATAAAATGCACCATGCTCTTAAATGATATTTAAATTTGAAAAAAAAATTCCATAAAAAAATTGTATAAGATTTTGTTTCTTTTTTGGTAGTCATAAAACATCTTAATATTATAATGTTTAAAAAATTAGTGATCAAATCGTCTTAAAATGAACATATTTAGCCGACTTGACATGGTCGCCATAATATTATCTGCTAAACAACAATAACTTTATATCTGAAATAAAACTATCCTCTCAGATTTTTTCGCGGATTTATTTTGATTTTTGGTTACCGACGTTTCGAATGTTTTACATCAATCATGGTCACGGGAAAGACTGAGGTTTTAGACATCTCAAAGGTATATAGGTATATGTATATAGTTGTTACAGACAGTGCCTACCCACAATATATATCTATATTTATTATTTCTATATTTACATATTATTAATTAATACTAATTTACAGGTCAAATTGTATCATCCTATTTAAATGATAACTGGAGGTCAGTTATGGACCAATTTGGATCTGTATTCATAGAGAAAGCACTGGAGTTGTACGTAGATCTTGTAGCGAATATGTGTGACAAAATTCCAGGAAAGAAATTTATTACTGAAGACCTTCATTCTTACCTCAAACATTAAGTTACTCTGATCACAATACCTATATGTAATAAGTGGGAATAAGAGTATATATTTTGTTACAATAAAAAAATCTAGCAAATGTTTACTTAAGATTTTTACTAAAGTATTTCCTAGGAGCTACCTGTTAATTCCTCATAAAAGTGAATATTTTTTACCCACATAAAACTAGATAAAAAATAAAGAGCCATTTACTGTAATTTACTGTATTGACTATAGTTCAAAATCTAGTGTATTTGAAAAATGTCCGAACGGTTTCTCTTGAAAACTTAGTAAACTAAACAATTAATAGCAATCTCCTTCACGAAAAATCCTATGTAAAAAAATTACATTACGCACATGTTCTAAATTATCTTTATTAAATACTTGCAATGCATTCTTGTTTTGCAATTAATATCTCATATATAAAAACAGGACAAAATATAGTCTATGAGAAAAAGAAACTTTGGATGACCAAAGCTATGTAAGATAAAGCTCATAACTTTGTAGCTTTTGCAATGTTAATTACTATCTAGATATAATATGTATGTCTCTCAGATTTGTCATATTATTTCACATTATTACCACTGTTTTGCCATGATATCGTATTAAGAGAATTTAACAACAATCACACAGTTTGCGTAACATATAAAAAAACTAGAATCCAAATCATAGAATTGAGTATTTTTCCTTTATTTTATGACGTCGGTGAAAAATAAAGCTTATTTAATTAAATAATCCTTCATTCCTTTCGTCACTCAACAGAGCTTATTTTATTTGATAAGGTACTCTTATTTTATTTTATTATCTCTATTATAGGATAAAGCATGATAATATTATTTGTTTCTTTTTTAAAAGCTTTTATTTAACTTCGATCACTTTGTAGTCTTTGTAAAGTTTAAATTTGTCGTTACTGGCAAGGATGTAGCCTATCTGTGTGCTATGGTTTGAGCTTTTATAGGTAATAAGGAGTTCCGTTTTCTTTTGAAAGTGTGTATTGATGATTTTTAGGGAGTGCTTAGTTGCAAATTTTAGGATGTCATCACCTTGTTGGTTGGTATCACCGTGACAATATCCCCTGTTACGTAATCTTAATAGTATAAAATAAAATACTAGGATGTAACAATTTTATATTAAATTATAAGCTAAACTTTACAACAAAAAATTCAAGAAGTTCATATTCATAGAGTTCACACATCAAAAAAATTCTAACAATTACAAAATAATAAAAATGAAATACTACTGTCCTGACTAGCAACACAGCAGGTGTAGCTTTGAATTGTAGTCCAGTTATATCAGCACTCTTTGGCAGGATAAATCTATAGGTTCGTCAGGGCAGGGAAACGAGGAATCTTCGAAACATCCGTTCGTAAGGGTAGTAGCACGCTCGAGAAATCTTCGCAACGTCCGTGTAGACACTTCAGAAATGATAGGTACAAAAACCCTGTAACGTTATTATCAGTCATTTTAATAAATGACGATAGATGGGGCAGCCAAGGAAAAATTAAATCAGTTTGCAATAATTATATCTAATAATTATAACAGTTAAAAATCACAAAAGGGCAATTACAATAAAATGTACGCGTATAACATTAAAAGTAAATTTAGCAAAGCACATTATAATTTCATAAAACGGAATAAGTAAAAGTATTAATTAACACACAGTAGTAAACTATTTATATAAAAAATAATATTTTTTAAAACAGAGTAGGTACACGTAAAAGGAAGCTGACTATTAAATCTTATATCTAATACAATAATAAAATCTTCTTACAACACTTACCCAGTCTGGGGTTGTTTGCACTTTCGTTTTAATATTACAAATATAAAGTATAAAGTAAAAATATGAAGATTAAATAACTAATGATTATTATGTTGCCTATCGCATCTTAGCTCGTAGTATTCTGAGCCAACGACAGTCGTCGAAGAGGTAAAATACCGTCAGCCGTTACTATTCGCTTACCGTCAAAGATTCATATAATTATAAAAATAATAAAATATAGCTTAAAACAAGTATAAAATTTAGAAATAATCGTATTTTATTAGAACATGTTAAACCCCCACGGACCTTACTGTAGAGGTTGTTCTTTTCCCTAACATGCCCATTCAGATCTCCATCTATGTGTACCTACATATTCAGTTAGTGGTATGTTTTTGAAGAATGTCAATAAATAAAAAAATAAACTTTTAGTTAAATCAAACCCATTTACTACATTACATAATTTATATAATATAAAAGCTTGTTTTAAATAAAACTATTTTTTCGGATTATTTCGTGAATTTACTTGGTTTTTTGTTTCCCGACGTTTCCCGACGAATGCTTTACAGCCATTATGGTTACAGAAGATACTAAGGTTTTAGACATCTCAAAGGCGTTATAAAGTTGTTACAGAACTGTATGTACTGACAAGTCTACAAAATAATTTCAAAAGTTCAAAAATGGCACCAAAGTACCTTCCAATATTTGTTGATTTTAATTCTAAATATTTTAATTTTTTTAATAAATATTATAATTAATTAAATATAGCAATATAATTTATTTAATTTTAGCTATTATTACTATTAAAAAAAATCCATTTTTTTTTAAATACACTAACTGCATCTAATATAAGCGACATTAACACTTTGTAAAAAATAAAATTCAAAATGTGATTTCTGTAAATCTAACTAACGCCCCACGATTTTATTTTTGAGTTTGATCAATGCTCTGGATTGATTAGGAGTGGTGTGATAACTGGTAACTGGGATCTATCTAATATATTTTTTAGCTTTTAGTACATTATCTACATCATTATTATATTTCTTTTCAATAAAACCGTTTAACTCTAAAAATAATTTAACCTATTTTTACAACTCTTATGTAAAAAGAAAAAAAAGTGAAATGGCACGTAAATATTACTTTTGAATATGAACCAAATTATCGCGTTTGGTATATTTTCTGTCTGACTCGTATTTTCAGAAAGAATATTTGTGAAGAATAATTTAGGAACAGAAGATACGATACATACCTAATCAAATAATTTCGAAGTCGGTGCCAGCTGATACAAAGCAAAGCACACGGACTTCGAAAATATTTGATTAGGTATGTATAGTAAATGAAAACTACCAATCAGTTATTTTTTACTTTTTAGTGCTTTTGTTTGAAGTCGCTTTTTATTTTTTTGTTAAAAAGTTTTTATTTTTATGCATGTTCACCGATTACTCGAGGACGCCTGAACCGATTTGGAATTTTTTTTTCAAAGGTTATACTTCCCTGGTGGTCCCATATAAATTTTATAGAAATCGGTAAAGCGGTTTTTTAAAAAATCAATAATAAATATATTTTTTAAATAAATTGCTTAATCGAATATTTTATTGAAAAACTTTCTGCTTACAAATTATCTGCTTATTACGTCTACACTAAAAATGGAAAATAAAAACTTTTTAACAAAAAATAAAAACCGACTTCCAGGCACTAAAATGTAAAATATAACTAAACGGAGGATTTTATTTAGAATAGATACCTAATCAGATATTTTTAAAGTCGGTGCCAGCCTACAATATTTTAAGATATGAATATCTAATAGATAAATATGTATTTTAAATTGGCTAACTTTTAATGTCATTACTCTCTTCCTTTGCAATCTCCGTGGCTTTCCGTATGAGAAACATTTTTATGTAGTGGCATTTACTTTTTTATACTATATCTACTCGTAGTAGGATAATACGAAACAAACAAAGCCCGAATATCCCTGAACCTTGAAGACGCATCAGAAATATATATTTATTTGAAAACATGACCTTTACATACAGTATTACTCAAAACAATACATAAAACTAATTGATATGGATGTTAGAATTCAGGAGGTTGCGCATATAGGGGGGTTTTACTGGGATTTTTAAATGAAAACTTAAAAATTTGATGACTGAACAGCACACAGTCTTACGATTTATTGAGAAAAAAAAAGAAATTTAAAATCACCGTCTGTGCATGACAAGGCGCGAAAGAAAAAAAGAGCAATATATTGTTCTAGTTATGTTGCTTAAAATTAACTTAAAAATCTATACGAGTAATTATATAAAAATGAATCCCTATTTCTCTTGGTCACGCCATCATGCGTGAACGGCTGGATCGATTAAACTATTTTTTTTTTGTTGTTGTTATTGTCAGGAGAAGGTTGTTATGAAAGAAAAAAATGAAAAATTAACGAAAAAAATTAAAATGTATATGGCTAACGCTGGCTAGTAGCTACTTATATCTATTTAAATCGTACCTAGCGACGAACCCGAGCGAAGCGAGAGTGAGCTGCTAGTAGATTAATAAAATGGTGCTTCAACAGAAGGGATTCTTATTTAAAGAATTGACATAAAACCTTCATGATTTGAGATTTTTGAGTGAAACTTTTTTCACATGGTACCTATGTAGTTCTTCTTTTAAAAAATGTGCAATATTCGATTATCGACTTTCAGTTGTTTTTTTTTTATTCAGCTTAGGCAAGAAAGATGGATACTTCGAAAATTCGAGTGATTTTTGAATACGAGTTCCGATGCGGAACTAACGTGACAGAAACAGCTCGTAATATCAACGTTGCGTTTGCGAGGGGACTGCTAATGAACGCGCCGTGCGATTTTGGCTTAAACGCTTTCGTGATGGAAGCTTTGATTTGAAGAACGAACCACGTGGAAGACCGCCCACATAGGTGAAATACAATGAATTGAAAGAGATGGTGGAAGCCGATCCGAGCCAAACTACCCAGGAATTAACGGCATGGTTTAACGTTACCTTACCGACAATATTGACTCATTTGCGTCAAATCAATAAAATAAAAAAAATATGAAAAATGGGTGCCTAATGATTTGACTGATCTGCAGAAAGAAACGCATGTGATGAAAAGTGGATTCTTTACGATAACCGTAAGCGAAAAATGCAATGGCTGACCCCAATAACAGATGTCGACTGTGCCGAACTCCGAACAATGATAGCAAAACTAGCAGTGAAACAGCCCCGACTCGTGAATCGATCTTCACCATTATTGCTCCATGATAACGTGAGACCTTATACAGCACGAGAAACCGTTTTAACTCTACAGGAACTGCAATTAGAAACCGTTCGTCACCTTCCGTATTCGCCAGACTTTGCTCCAACGGACTACCATTTTTTTCGTGATTTGGACAATTTTCTACGTAATAAAAAGTTTTCTTCTTAGGAGGCAGTACAAAATGCTTTCACACAGTTTGTCGAATCTAGATCACCAGAGTTCTATCGCAAAGGCATAAATGACCTTCCTATTAGATGGCAGCAATGTATAGATAATAATGATAATTATTTTGATTAAATAAATATGTTAAATTAAAAAAAAAACGAATATATTATTATAATTCTAAATTCTGTAGATTTTATTTGTGGTCTTTCAGCCATATCAAAGTTACGCATTCTAATGATTACAATTCATTCCATCCATACTGTATATAAACTTAAATAGGTATTGTATGTATGTATTGTAATTCACATAAGCGGTAAAACTAAATGAATTTATTAACCCGTCTTTTTATGTAGGTTTTTGTGCAATTTTGTGGTATATATATATAAATTCGTCAGTTATATTCTAGATTACTTTGGTACTACACAAGAATACAAAATGTTCGCATTAACCGCAGTAGTGCTTATATTTTCTTTCTTTATTTCTTGTAAGGCTGGCTTCGGTGAGAAATTTTTACCTATGATATTATTGTTTAGAAATTTATATGTCAACATTTTAATAAAATGATGATTTTAAATAAAACCATCTCTTTAGATTTTTTTTGGAAGAGAGTCTCTCCCGTGACTATGATTGCTGTAAATCATTCAAAATCCCGGGAACCAAAAATCAAAATAAATCCGTAAAAAAATCAAAAAATATAGTTCTATTTTAAATTCGCTTTGCTCGGATTCGTACCTGCTTACGTTTTAACATTTAGTATAGATTTCTCAGCGATGAGATATTTTTCTGCAGTAAAAAGTTTTCTAGATGTTGACCCGGATAACCAACTATGATTATACTAAATTTCATCGAAATCCCTCCAGTGGCTTTTCCGTGATGCGGTAACAGCCAGACAGACAGACAGACAAAAAATCTAAAAACTATAGATTCGGCCTCTGTATCGATAATAATGTCTATTTCAATTAGATTTCTCAAAAAATATTTAATGTACAAATTCGGCTTAGTTACGATTTTGATAAATGTATAGATGACAATTATTGCCGTTACTCTTCGAAAGTAAAATGATGATTTATTGATCCCTTAAATCATATTTAACATTAACACGAGATTATATTTATTAGAAAACATTTAATATCCTGTTATTGTGTTATGATTGTCAGAAAGCGTTTTTGATTAGTGCAATGAAGTTAATGGAATCGATCCCAGATTAATATAAGCATGTTTCCAAGATATAGTAATGACATTTACCATACTTCCTTTTAAATCAATGGATGGAGTATAGCCGCAGGAACTTTGCCTCTTTATGCATAGATATTTGTAAAATTTTGTATACCTAGTGTTGGAACAGGTACTGTGTATTCCTTTCCCAACGTGCGTTCACCTTGTCGTGGTGGGGGGGCTCAGTAGTGCCCGGCAATCCAACCGGGCGCGAAGCTAAGAAACGCACAGGGAGGTTGCCCACTTCGGTGGGCGGGGAGAGGTGGCCCTCTTTGGGGGGCGGTGGGAGGTGGCCCACTTCGGTGGGCGGTGGGAGGTGGCCCTCTTCGGAGGGTGGTGTACCATGCGGGTTGCTCCTGGTACTTCTCTGATAGCAGAGTGGACCTTGGAGCAACGCCGTGGTTGTTGTGGTCTGCTTCGGCAGACCTGCCGTCGGGGCGTCGTAGTTGAATGCGTAAGCGATCCTGCGACGCCCCATTAAGACGGGGGAAGGCTTTGTTGGGTTTTAGTGGGTAGTACTGGCTTTGCCGGTGAGTCCCACACCTCGTGCGTAAATGCATTTCCCAACGTTAAAAAAAAAAAAGGTACTGTGTATTAGTAATAATAGTATGTGTGATTTGCTGCTATGTAAATCTATACATTTAATGAAATTCTAATAAAGCCGAATCTCTAATCTAAATATTTTTTTTGGAAAACCTTATTGAAATAGACATTATTTTCGAGACAGAGGCTGAATCTATAGTTTTTAAAAATGTTGCCTCTCTATCTGTTACCACATCACGGAAAAATCACTGGAAGGATTTTGATGAAATTTGGATAATGATAGCTGTTTATCCGGGTCAACATATAGGATACTTTTAACCGCGGGAAAATATCTCATTTTTGAGAAAAAATAGAAAAACTGCAATGTAAGCGTACACTAATATGTAAAACCTAAGAGTTTGGTTTTTGGTCATCTGATAGCGGCCGGATCCGCAGGCAATGCTAGTATAAAATATGATTAATAATTATATGATTTTTTTTTTGTCTAATAATAATATAGACCTGTTAGTTGTTTTTGAGAAATTTATCATACTGAGAATCTTTTAAATTAATTAATTACGTAAAACAACACCTATTACCTTCCCTCCACGAGCGCGGTCAGTTAACAATAGATTTCTTAGAATTTTAATTAATTTCTTAGAAATTTACCTGAGGGAGTTAAGCCAAAATATGTTCATATTAATAGTGTTTAATTACAGCGGATACCCTCCCACAATGCAGCATAAAAGATTCACAATGTATAAAAGGCATATATCAACATATGATGAAAACCGTTTCAAGAACTGGGGTCAAAGAATTTGGAATCATTCCATTAGATCCTTTACCGTTAAGAAATATATCTGCAACTGTCTTGGACGGTATAACTATCAATGTATCTGAAGGCGCAATGAAGGGCATGAAAAACTGCGTAATTAATGAGTTCAAGTAAGTTCTATATAAGCGTTTTTTTAAAACTTATCGCCAGTTTTTCTAAACAAAAACTTAATTTGTTTTTATTTGTAATTATTTTATAGTTGTTCGGTCCAAAGGTTTTCACCGAAGACCTAAGCAATAATGCTTTTTCGGTGTGTTATAAATACATCGAAACACGCTTAAAAATGGCAGTGCATGTTTGGACAGCAATCAAACCGGCTGCGTTCATTATCATTAAGCATCATTAATTAGCATCAATTATTAGTATAGCATATAATTAAATCAATAAACTGTTCAACGATCTCAAACTGTATTTAATTAATCAAGCATTTAGTGGTAGGTCGCGTCCCCTACAATAGTATATGTTAATCGTTTTTCATTAATTCGTAATTATTTCAAGATGTAAAAATTCAGTTATAACACTAAGTCATGTTTATTATCTATGAAGAAAAAGTTATTAATTAATTTATCACAAGCAGGATACGCATTCGATCGAAAATATTTGTGGCTTATGGTAAGAATGGGCGTGATATTTTTCTATTATCATCTGGAAATATCCGAAATTAATGTACAGGACTGTCACAAGCAGTCTCATTGATCTAGTCGGTTTGTTATGTCGCGCACACTAATTGTTCACTAAAGGTAATATCTCCCATATGAAAATATGTTATCTATACTATCTATGTATACTAATATTATAAGGAGGTAAAGTTTGTGAGTTTGTGACTTTGTGACTTTGTGATGTTGTAGGGGGTAATCTTTGGATCTACTGAACTGACTTAGATGAAATTTGGTAAGAAGATAGTTTGAGACCCAGGGAAGGACATGGAATAGTTTTTATTTCAGAAATCATTCATTAAGAGGGTGAAAATGGGGATTGTATTGGGAAGCAAGCTAGGGACGAACCTGAGCGAAGTGAGGGTGAGTCGCTAGCTCTCAATAAATGTGTGACCGAAGATGGTTAGGAGGATACTAATATTATTAGGGGGCAAGTAGAGGGAAGGAAATTTTAACCGACGAAAATATTTATATAGGTTAACTATTATCAATGATATCCCTTTAACTTTTTCCACATAATATTTTGATATACAAAATATGCGGATATTATGTATTTTAAAAGTTAATAAATATTAGCGACTTACCCTCGCTCCGCTCGAACACGTCCCTTTGTATGATTTTGTTCACATTTCCATGGATTTTAATTTTTTTGCGTTTCGTTTTCTAAAATAAAAGTAGCCTCTTTATAACATCAGCTATCTGCCAGTGAAAGTCTGTTAAAAATCAGTCTAGCCGTTTCAGAGATTAGCCGGAACAAACAGACCGACATTTTGTTTTCTTATTAGTAAAAAACTGTTATTTTGACATTACAAACAGACACTTCAATTTTATTTATCGTTGTAGATAATTTATTTATTAGCTTTTTAAGGAAAACAAACAGGGCAATAAATTATAAACATATAAAAGTAATCCTAAAACCGAACCAAGTTTCCACAGATATTTAATATATAGTAAAAGCTCTGCTAAAATCTCTGCTAAAATTTCACCCTTCGCCATTGGTGATCCTAGTATCCGCTTACTATCCAGCTGAACACCAAGACCACGCATTCATTTACTCTCATTAGTAAATTATCATCCACTTTATAATTAAAGAGGATGGTATTCTTTTTTGTGGTAAATGAGATGATGTTACATTTCCTGATGTTCAAGTAAAGATCATTTGCTTGACAATATGAACTTAGCCTACACAGATCTCCTTGAAGTATATTGCAGTCCTCTAAACTTTTAATAGACCCAAAAATTTTCATATCATCTGAAAAAAGGAGAACTTTGGAATTATGGAAGCCGGTTCTGACATAATTTATAAACCCAATAAACACCAAAGGACCAAATAATGTGTTCATATGTTATATTTTTTAGTATCGATTGGGAAAAAGAAAGAGGATATATGAATGTCACGTGTGACGTTTTATCTCTCAAAGGTCAAATCGTAGTCTCTGGTGAAAATCCAGAGATACAAAGTACTATTGGTAGCAATACTCTAAACGGTCAAGGTATAGCCGAAATAAAACTAGGTTAGTAATATTTGTTATTATTGATTAAAAAATATATAAAGAATAAAATATTTCATTAAATACTAAATAAACCTTGTCGAACTTTAGCAAGAAAATGTTAAAAATATTATAGAAAAAAGAAATAATTATTTTCTAACATACAATATTATATGAAAGCTCTATAATTATACCTCTTGGGATTAAAAATACCAGTTTTAATATGTTTTTTGTTTAAAATACTTCTTGTACAAAAGGAAGTAAAGTATTTTTTCATACCTACATATATTATATACTTACATAATGTTTTTTTTTTAATTTATAGATAACACGAATTTGTACATCGAAGTCTCAATTTATTTGACAAAGAAAGATGGTGAGATTTACCTCACGATGTCTAACAAAAATAGGATATATTTATATGACATTGGGAAGGCGCATTTTATAACTGAAAAAGTCATGTTTCCAAACGATGACTTAAGTAAGTAAAATTAGTATTTTAAAAGAATTTTTCTAGATTGTAATTTAATTTTACAACATCAACAGATGATGGATTTTATAATATATTAAAAAAGTCATCCATATCTCGAGGTTATACTCATATCCGTATTCATCTTTCTATCCAAATCTTTCCTATTTTCCTAGGAGAAAATGCATCACGCTCTAAAATGACATTTAAATCCATGCAAAAATTTTCATTAGCAAAATTGTATAATGGCCTAAGAGCCTGTGAACGCCAGACCTTCGTCATTTTATAAAAGCTGAAAGTTTGTCAGCGCACGCTCCCAACACAGATAAGAACGATTGACCATTATGAAGTTCAGGCTATGGTGGCATTGAATGACGTGATTTTTAATAATATTCTGAAGGTAATACCAAAAAATCCCACTTTATTATTTGACGAATTTAGATCCTTATTTTACACACCTTTAGTACCTGCCAAAGCCACCATAGCCTGAACTTCATAATGGTCCATCGTTCTTATCTGTGTTGGGAGCATGCGCTGACAAACTTTCAGCCTTTATAAAATGACGAAGGTCTGGCGTTCACGGGCTCTTCCTCTATAAGCTTTTATTTCTTTTTTGGTGCGAAATAAAACATCATAATATAATATTTAAAAAATTCGTGATCAAATCATCCTAAAATGGATATATGTGTTTAGTCGACTTGACATGGCCGCCAAAATATGATCTGCTAAACAACTTTTCTTTGTGTTACGTTTTATTTGCATAATTTTATATCTTAAATAAAACTATCTGTTCGTATTTACTTTGATTTTCGGTTCCCGATGTTTCGAATGCTTTACATCAATTATGGTCACGGGAAAGTCTAAGTTTTTCGAGTTGTTACAGTATGTACTCACAATATATTTTTATATTTACATATTGTTAATTAATACTAATTTACAGGTCAAATCGTATCATCCTATTTAAATGATAACTGGAGGACAACTATGAAGCAATTCGGATCTGTATTCATGAACAAAGCACTGGAGTTGTTCATTGCTCTTATAGCGAAATTCTGTGATGCAATTCCAACCAGCAAATATATTACTGAAGACCTTAATCCTTTCCTTAAACATTAAGTTGACTATGATCACAATACAGTTTGAATAAAAATATGTTTGTTAAAATAAAAAAAATATCTAGGTAAATATTTAAGTTTTTTATTACAGTATTTCCTAGGTACTACCTGTAAATGCCTTACAAAAGTTACATAAAACTAGATAAAAATAAAGTACTCTTTACTGTAACGTATCGACTAACGTGTAAAAATCTAGTTTATTGACCTTTTTGCGAAACATGTCAGCGTTCCGCTCCGGCTTTCTCATACCATAATTTAATTTATTTGTCTTATAAATTGAAACTCCCGAAAGCAAAATCAAGAATCCTTCTCCAGTGAAATTTTGATGGTATTGACCTACAACGTTTGCACGCAGACGCTGAAAGAATAGATTGGTCAACGGTTACCGCAGCGAATACAATTATATTGATTAAAAAATTGCTTTATTTAATTCTCTTTTAATCCAGCTGTTTGATATTCATGCTCCAGTTCTACTTCGTACTGGTCAAGCTCCCTGGCTTACGCCACAAATCCAAAGGCTACAGATATATTTCAAATCCCAATACAATATGTTTCAAATCCCAGTGATAAAAATAGGTAAAAATTTGTCAAGTCTCGGAATCGTTGCAACGTGGTATGTAGGGTTAGTTAACGACGCTGTATCTATAAATCAGTTGTCGAAGAAGATGACTCAGAAAAAGTCTGGCATTTTTATAAGTCCGTAGGAGCAGGTAAACCTAAAGCAAATATTATTTCTAAAAACTTAGATATACATTTGCTAAGTCAACATTTCTCTTCTTCTAGTATTATGGATGTATGTGCTCAGTATGATGTATTCAGCCCTTTTTTTAACGTACCACTGCTGGGCACGGTACGAGGGGGATCAGGCCATAGTCCACCCCGCTGGTCAAGTGCGGGTTGTCAGACTTCGAATATCCTTTGAAAACTTGCTAGGTTCTCTCAGACATGCAGGTTTTCTCACTATGTTTTCCTTCACCTTAACAACTAGTAATCATGTTAGAAATGACTCGTACATGAAAATATCAGAGGTGCGAGACCTGGAATTTGAAACCGCTTCACTTGGTTTCCCAAGCAGCGCGTTACCATTGGGCTACCACTGTCTACATTTATATTTCAACTATCAATAATACATATTATTATTATTGGTAGTAGCTATTATTGGTGGGTCAAATAAATCTTAATCTTTTAACTTCATTTCTCTAAAATGTCTGATTATTATATATATGTAGTATGATGTCATATGTATCTATAATGAATAAAAACCACGTTCAGCTATTTTTTACTTTTTAGTACCTGAAAGTCGGTTTTTTAGTGTTTATCATTAATGAATGTTGTTATATCTATACTAATATTATAAAGAGGTATAGTTATAGTTTATGAGTTTGTGAGGTTGTAGGGGGTAATATCTAGATCTACTGAACCGATTTAGATGAAATTTGGTAAGAAGATAATTTGAGACCCTGGGAAGGACATAGGATACATTATCTTTTATATCGTAAATCATCCTTAAAGGGGTGAGAATGGGGAATAAAGTTTGTATGGGGAATCAACGAACGAAGCGAGGGTGAGTCGCTAGTAGTTTATAAAAATAGCGAAATATTTGTGCTATAAACTAAATATTATGAGCGCCGGGTACAAAATCATTGATATAAGTAGTAAGTGAAAAAAATCAACCTATAATATGTAATTATCCTATCCATCCATCCATACTAATATTATAAATGCGAAAGTAATTCTTTCTGCCTTTCTATTTTTTTATTTTTTTAAAGTAGGTACTTACCTACTTTTCTATATCTATGTATATACATATGGTCTATCTATTCCATACTAACCGTTAAAACGTATCTATCTATATCTAAACATATTTAACATTTATAACATTTCTTTAGCAGTGTATTTTTAGTTCTTTATATTGGTTGATGTCTAAAGAACCACATGTAAATAAGCTAGCTACTCACCCTCGCTCCGCTCGCGTTCATACCTAGTTATGTTTTAAAGTTTAGTATAGATTTCTCAGAGATGAGATATTTTCCCGCAGTAAAAAGTATCCTATATGTTGACTCGGATAACCACCTATCATCATGCCAAATTTCATCAAAATCTGTCCAATGGTTCTTTCTTTTTTCAGACAGACAGGCAAACTGAAAGACACAAATTCTAAAAACTATAGATTCGGCCTTTATATCGATAATAATGACTATGTTAATCAAAAATTCCAAAAAATATTTAATCCCTCCAAGACCGCAGACACGCCGGCGTGTCAGTTAACAATGGATTTTTTAGAATTTTAATTAATTTCTTAGAAATTTATCTGGAGGTGTTAATTAATGTACAGATTCGACTCAGAATTGTATTATATGTATAGACTACTATGCTAAAAAATACGCTTGTAGTCAAATAAATTTTTTTTATGCATAAAAAATACTTTTTTATCACATTAATTTATTGATGTTGACAGTGTCTAAAAAGTATTTTGCATTTTGGAAATACAAATATATCTTCAAAGGTATTTCAAATAAAATATAAAATTCTTTACAAAAAAAAGGATTTCAATACAAAATGGAAATAAGTATTTTGTATTTTGCATTTCAAATAGGTACTAGTATTTTAAAAATATTTAATCTCTGCAATTATCATAAATTAAATCTTGGAAAAAATGAAAAACACACATAACATGAGATATGTCCATTTTAATCTTATGTTAATCGCTAGACAATTCTGTTGTTAAATTACGAAATATATAAAATAAAGTTGGCATTTCATACATTTAACTGAGGGGAGAGCAATTTTTTTCTGGACAGGTATTTATAATTCAGATAAATATTTCTAAATGACTTTTTAGTTCAAGCCAATAGTTGCAAAGATATACTTCTAAAGTCATGCACTCCCTTTATTTTGAAAGTATGTATTGATATAGAACAGCTTTTAAAATACCTGTAAAGTAGTTGTTAGGGAACCAAAAATCAAAATAAATCCTCGAAATAATCCGAAAAGATTGTTTTATTTAACTTGTAAAGAAAATAATTTAGAATAAATATGTTGAGTAGTTTTTGAGATACTTGTGTGATATTTTCCGTTACACGCGTTCGGCTGCAAAATATATATGTGTACGTGTCATATAAAATATCGTGGATGTAATGGAATAAATATTTTATTTTATGCTACGGAACCCTTTTTTTTAACGTTGGGAAATGCATTTACGCACGACGTGTACCGGCAAAGCCAGTACTACCCACTAAAACCCAACAAAATCTTCCCCCGTCTTAATGGTTCGTCGCAGGATCGCTTACGCATTCAACTACGACGCCCCGACGGCAGGTCTGCCGAAGCAGACCACGACAACCATGGGGTTGCTCCAATGTCCACTCTACTATCAGAGAAGTACCAGGAGCAACCCGCATGGTACACCGCCCACCGAAGATGGCCACCTCCCACCGCCCACCAAAGTGGGCCACCTGCCTGTGAGTTTTTTGCCTGATTGCCGGGCACTACTGAGCCCCCCCCACCACGACAAGGTGAACGCACATTGGGGGGGGGATGCTACGGAACCCTGTGTGCAAGCTGTTATAAATTAAATAGTAACTAATTTTTAATGAAGATTTTTATGCTATTCACGGTACCTATATAAAGCAAAACTCGGTGGTGTTGTGGCTAGCAGGTACGGCTGCACACCCGGAGGTCCTGGGTTCGAGTCCCGGGTCGGGCCAAGTTTAGTTATTGAGTCTTATTGTATAGTAAGCCTCAGTAACAGCCCGGAGTTGGGAAGTTGGCGGTGCTTTACCCCCGTGCTTCGGAGAGCACGTAAAGTCGTCGGTCCTGCGCCTTAACTCTCACTGGTCGTGTCGAGCAGTCGTCCCACCGGAGTATGAGTGACAGGAATAGAGAGTGCACTTGTGAATGCGCGTACACTTGTGCACTATAATATCTCGTGCGCAGTTGGCTAGTCTCAATGAGATTGGCCGCCGTGGCCGGAATCGGTCAGGAGAACATCAATAATCAATAAAGAAAAAACATGTACTATATCTTGCATTATTTGTTTATACTGTATAGAAAGATATAAATACATTTGTATACAAAGATATAAAATATTTATAGTAAACGCACTAGTGCTTACGTTTTCCTTGCTCGCGAGACAGACAACCTATGGTAAGATAATTTAGAAGTGTTTGTCGTTTTTAATTTCTTCAAATATAATTACTGTATTTTTAAAAAAAAGATTTATTATTTTATAATATTCTTTAAATAAATAATTGTACTAGTACTGACATGAGTCAGCAAGTATTAGATGCCGTGTCCAAAAAATATATGCTCTAATAATTGAACACACCAATCTCTATTACGCATTCCGAAATGCTTTACTTTTCATAGGGATATAAACAAATAAAATCCTAAATGTGCCAGTAAACGTCTTGTTAAAACTATTTTATCCCCTTATGGGATACGATTTTAAAAATCCTTCCTTAGTGGATGCCTACGTCATAAGAGGAATACGTTTGCTAAATTTTAATTTTCTAGCCTTAAGGGTTTGGCCTGTGTGTTGATACATCAGTCAATCACTATTACCTTTTATGTATATAGATTTGAAGATCATATTGTAAACTTGTAACCATTCTTAAATACATAGTAGTATTGCTTATAATGTTTTATGCCTTCTTATATAAATGTAACTTTGAAGACACTTATTTAGGCTTGATATAAACAATTTGTACTCCATTCAGTAGACGAAGAGGAAAAAACGTACTCAAGATGCATTCATAGACTTTAGATAATATGAAGCCGAACCGAATATACCACAATATTCTAATAAGTAAAGCTGACATTTATTTGCGTTGGATATGGTGTTCATTTATCCATCCCTTTCATTCGTGAGTCGTATACTGAAGTCACGACGGAAAATATCAGCGACTAAATAAACTAGCGATTCACTCTCGTTTTGCTCGGGTTCGTCCCTAGCTTGATTCCCCATACAAACTTTCATCTCTATTTTCACCCCCTTAAGGAATGATTTCCTGGATAAAAGGTATTTTATGTCCTTTCCAGGGTCATAAACTCACAAACTTTACCTCTTTATAATATTAGTATAGATATAATCCTTATAAGAATAACCACAGATAGAAGAGTTATTTTGAGGTACTATTAGCGAATTCAAAATTGATAATAATTAAATAAAACATAATTAGAAATTTTAAACGCTGTTTATATGCTGGGTTTCATTTAAAATACACTAAAGAAACAGTTTAATTTAAGTAGTTAATGCGCAGTATATTATTGCAGTTAGATCTACAAGTCCTTCAAATCTAAAGAACTTTTATAAGTCTAAATAAATAAATTTTATTTCATGTTTTCAACATCTTTAGTACACTGCAAGCGCAAATTACTCATTACATTGTATCAGTCAATGTTCAGGTTCATATCTCAGGGTTATTATTGTTGAGACCGGTTTTGTAATTTTTTGTTATATAACATATAAACTGCGCATAGATTAAACTACTGGATTTACTCCTTATTTAAGTTAAAATGTATAATAATTAATTTTAACTATTCATCTAATTAAAAACTATAGTTTTTTTAACTCTTTTTTGTATTAAGAAACCAGCAGTTATACACTAATACAGATTTATGAGTTTTAAGGTAAACACAATATACACAAAAAAGTAAAAAAGAAATAAGCGTTTAATGTGTGATTGACTAACAATATTTTGATGTTTATCTAAACACATTGAGTGAAGTGAACCTGTTGGAAATCTTTGTAACCCGAGGTTTAGCTGAATTCGACCCTAATATCTACTGTTCTACGAAATGGTACAGATAAAGGCTTATATACACCATTAGGCAAAGGGGGAGGTACCTAACAATTTAATAAGTGCAAATTGTGTCATACGACTTGTGTCAATCACACAAAATTTTAGTTAGAAACAACAAACGGAGTACTATATCTCTCCTGGTGCTCGAGGATATCATTTTAAAGCATTGTAACCTACTTTCGCATATATCTAGCATATTTACTATTAATATCATATACTATACTTTCTTAAGTCATACTTGTTTGTAAGAGTTCTTTTAAATTAAACGTTTCTCGAATAAACAAAAATATTTACAAATTAGACAGATGTTTTCCAAAGACACAGACAAACATTTTCATATTATTTATTAGTATTAGTAAACTAATTAAACTTTACATTGCTTACTGTAGCTGTCTATTGATATATAAGTACACTGGTATCGTTAATATTTTAACTATTGTGTATAGACCTTTTAAAGTGCATAGAATAAGATGGTCTCCAGTTGGGCGCTGGTTATTTTGCTCGGATCTCTAAGTTTTTGTCAAACTGCTTACGGTATGTATTTATATATGTTAGAAAAATAATATGTAGTTAACTATATAAATAAAAATGAATGTTGGTAAGCGCATAACTCAAGAATGGCTGGACCAATTCGGCTAATTTTTTTTCGTATGTTCCTTAAGCTCCACAGAAAGTTTTAATAAAGAGAAAAAAATAAAAATTAACGGAAAAGTAAATTAAAATTTATATGGCTAACGCTAGCTAATAACTATTTATATCTAAATAAAACTATCTTTTCGGATTATTTCGCGGATTTATTTTAATTTTTGGTTTGCGACGTTTCAAATGCTTTACAGCAATCATGGTCACGGGAGAGACTGAGGTGTTAGATGTCTCGAAGGTATAGTTGTTACAGACAGCCTACCCACAATTAACAAAATGAAAAATTGCACCAAGTACCTTACAATATTTTATAACTTTAAACATTTTTATTCAGTCTCTCCCATGACCATGATTGCTGTAAAGCATTCGAAACGTCAGGAACCAAAAATCAAAATGAATCCGCGAAATAATCGGAAAAGATAGTTTTATTTAAAATGTCAAATATTCGCGTAAATCTAAGAAAGTACTATTTATATCTATGTAAAACGTACATAGCGACGAACCCGAGCGAAGTGAAGGTGAGCCGCTAGTATTATTATAAAAAAGTCCTGAATATTGTTATAATTAGCTTAAACACAGATGACATGATGTTGAAAAGTTGATTTCTAAACGAATATTTTTTTAATGATTATAATATTATGAATGCTCATTTTGCTTAAGCCTAAGGGAACATACGCATACATTGGTGATAGTTAACACCTAGAATAGAATTCATAATTATTACGTATACCCACTGTGTTTTTTTTAAACTCGTACCCACCAATTACTCGTGCATCCTTCATTTCAATGAAAAAAAGATCCGGGCAAGTGCGAGTCGGACTCGCCCACCGAGGGTTCCGTACAAAGTAGGAAAAAATCTGTTTAACTGTAATTGTGAACTTCTTTTATTTTTTGGAATTTGTGCTGAAAAACCTTGCTTTTTGTCAAATTTGATCGTCTACGGTAATCTAATTGTCAACGGGAACTATCATATAGGTTTTCGACCCAAAACCTATAGGGTACTTCCGGTTGACATAGAATTGTCAATTTTGGTTAAAAGCAAGGTCTTACAGTACAAGTAAAGAGAAAATTCCAAAAAATAAAAAAAGTTGAAAATTAAGGTAAATTTTGGAACTTACACGTTTTCGCGAAAATCTAAATTTGCCCATATCTTTTTATCGTGTTGACTCAGGACCCTGATTTTTATACACCTAATAGGGACTATAGACCTTAAGTATCGGTATAAATTTCAACTTGCTAGGTTCACCTGTTCCTGAGAAAGTCGGTGGTGACACACGGACAGACAGACAGATGGACAAGAGAGTGATCTTATAAGGGTCCCTTTTTTACCTTTTGAGGTACGGAACCCTAAAAACCATGCCAACTAAAACAGAGTTACGTCATAGTTAACTTCATTTATGTTTTTATAATTACTAATTACTTTATAATAAAACAGGTACACCAAATTCACTATTACTCTATTATTAAAGTACAGTAATTATACCATACATAATATTGGATTACTATTATAAATGTGAAAATTTATATGTTTGCGTACGAGTATGTGATGTGTATATATATTTGTTGAAACGGCCAGATGGATTAGGATATTGTAGTACACAGATAGACTATGATTTGAAGTAATACAGAGGCTACTGCTTAGCACCTACGGATGCACTCGATGTTAACAAGGGTATGTCGCTATATTCTTGTAACTAGCGACTCGCCCTCGCTTCACTCTGGTTCGTCCCTAGATTGCTTCGCCATACAAACTTTCATCCCCTTAAGGGATGATTTTCGGGATAAAAATATCCTATCCTATCCTATGTCCTTCCCAGGGTCTTAAACTATCTTCTAACCAAATTTCATCTAAATCGGTTCAGTAGATCCAGAGATTACCCCCTACAACGTCACAAACTCACAAACTTTACCTCTTTATAATATTAGTACAGATAGAACAGAATATTGATTCTATCATATATTTGTGTTCTATACACGAAGGTGTTTTTTTTATTCAAATGGTGTACAAAACATGGAGGTATATTAGGTAATTTGCAGGCTACCGGGGTTTACTATTGTTTTCTTCATTTCTCTTAGTAAAAGTATTTATTCCTTCCTCATAAAAAGTGTTAAGTAAACAAAACACGTATTGGTATTTCGTAGTAGGAAAGTAGTGTGATTGGAGAAAGTTGAAACAACAAATTAACAATCAGGGTCGCTTAGTAAAACTTGTTATATTATTGTATTTTCAGATTATTTATGTAAATTTAATAAAATCGTACAGAAAAGAGGCCTAGTGCGAACGTAAAAGTTATGTTTTTATTATTTGTTTTACCGTGCTTGTAGTTTTATTTCTAGTAAATACGTAAATCAACCTGTGAACTATTTTGTGAATATAAACACAATATCTCTCTTGAAAAAAAGTAAACTAATTAAACAAATGATTTACGTGACGTAATCTACGTTACATGGATTTATTATATTATGGACTATTTAATACAATAATTATGTTTATATAAAAAATGACAGAAAGAAATCGAATTATTCATCAAAATCAATTAAAACCCTAATTAATGAGTTCGTACTCCATGTCTGAAGGTGGTGCTATTTAAATTTTTTAAGTTATTTATCTAAGTTCAAAATGTGAGTGGTTTTATCAAGGTTTCACAAAACATCTTAACACAGGTATTTTTATAAAATAGATAATTAAGTCCACACGGCGCCTTTTCTGCAAACCCATCTTCCCATCTCATCTGACGACACGTTTGGCTCAGTTTTTTGTGACCCTATTGTCTGTGCCAGCGGTCGCGGTTTTGGCCACGCTGGGGGCATTTATTTGTGCCATGAGCACGAATATTTGTACTCTAGTCATGGAAATTTATAATTATAATATTATGTGTATATTTAAAGTTATATAATATGTGAAGTGTATCAGCTATGTATGGATGGATATGTACTAGATCCATAACACGAGCATCGTAGCTTACCGTGGAAATAGATGGTGCTATGTTCCAAATATTTTTTATTTCCTTAATCTATTTACCTACGCTTAAAAAGTAAGATAAATAGCTGTATAAACAAAATTAATCTTTATAATTCGAGTTTTATTAATCCAAAGACAATAGAGCAACTGTATGTACATTGTACATAGCCGCATGTAGGTCTTCCTTTTACTTTGTGGGATTATTATTAGTTGTCCATAAACTCTAACCTAACCTAATCTTCTTATCGTACTTTAACTATATACCTACTTTATTATTAAATTTGCGACAAAACGTTCAATCAGATATTGTAATATTGATTTTCAGTGGAAACTTTACCAAAATGTTCCTTCAGCGACCAAGAATGCCTCAAAAATGTAATTCAAAATGTATTGAAAGATATCAGCAAAACTGGCATTAAAGAGCTAAGTATTCCACCCGTTGATCCTATAAAACTGAAAAATATACAAGTATCAGTTCTCGGACTTATAAACATTACATTGGAGGATGGCGTGGCTAAAGGGATTAAAGAATGTGTAATTGACAAGATTGAGTAAGTACTTCAGTGCATTTATAATAAGCTAGCGATTCACCCTCACTTCGCTCGGGTTCGTCCCTAGCTTGCTTACCAATACAAACTTTCATCCCCATTTACACCCCCTCAAGGGATGATTTCCGGGATAAAAAGTATCGAATGTCCTTCCCAGGGTCTCAAAATATCTTCTTACCAAATTTCATCTAAATTGGTTTAGTAGATCCAGAGATTATCCCCCATAAACTCACAAACTCACAAACCCACAATCTCACAAGCTCACAAGCTTTACCTTCTTATAATATTAGTATAGACTACCGACTCACCCTCGCTCCGCTCGGGTTCATCCCTAGTTACGTTTTGACGTTTAGTATAGATTTCTTAAAGATGAGATTTTTTGCGCAGTAAAATATATCCTATATGTTGACCCGGATAACCAGCTATCATCATACCAAATCTCATTAAAATCTGCCAAGTGGTTTTCTCTTGATGCGTTTCCAGATAGACAGACAAAAAATCTCTGTATCGTAATATTGATTATTTCAATAAGATTTTCCGAAAAACATTTAATGTACATACTTAGAATTTTATATTATGTAGGTATATATATATATTGATATTGAAAAAAAAATATTTTTTAACGCTTTGCGTCCCCCCATTTCTCGGGGGTAGCTGGGCATACGGGGCATTTACGAATTTCAATTCCTTCACACTGGTACAATTTCATACCTGCTAACATTTTAAAATCGTAAAACTTCAGGTGTTCAATTTTTTTTTCTCTTAAAAATAAGAGGATTCCGATTGGTATAAATACAGAGTATTACTAAATCGAAATGAAATTAAAATGACTAGTTGAATTTGCTGAAAAAGAGCCAGAAAATTAGAAGAAGCTGAGAAATTAGAGATTTGATATAAATACCTAGTTATGATTTGAATTAAGTTGAAACTTTTTTTTTATAATTTTTTTAAATTATAAGTATAACCGTAAGCTTAAGCTTTTACTTTGAATTGACCCTTCAATCCTTTTATCCTTCACAACTAAAGCATCCTGCAAGATATTGGATGGAATAGAAAAATGTTACTATGGGAAACTTTAACTTGGTATGGCAATTACGATACTAGTATTATAAAGTCGCGTTATATTAAATAGCTTTAATTTTTAGTACATTATAATGTATTTTAATGTTATTATAATATTTATGTAAATGATTTTAGAACAGAGCTTGATAAAGGACACACACAAATAGAAGTCACTTGTGATGTCATTATCAAAGGAAAGTATAATGCAGTAGGAGCAAGCCCTATTATTAAGAATCTATTAGGAAATAACGAAGTTCGTGGTGATGGAATTGCTAAAGTGAAAATTGGTAGGTTACAGCCTAATTGGACATTTAGTTTTATTATAAAATACATTTAATGTACTAAACACGCAGTTTAATTGATTGTATTGAAAATTTCAGATAAACTACATTTGAAATTGGATTTTTACTATGACTTTATTAAAAAGGCAGATGGTGACATATACATTAAATGCCGCTTTAACAAAACTATCTACGAGTATGACATGGGTAGTATAAAGATATCTGCCGATAGGATATTTTTGGGAGAGCAAGATTTTAGTAAGTTTAATATATACATATATTATATTAAGGGATATTATTTGTCTGTTTTATTACTCATTAAATTCGCCAGAAAATAAAAAAAGACATTTCGATATATATATCTTTAAATGTTTTGAGCAATTTTGTGCCAAAAATCTACAATTTTACTTTAAATTTGGTTTTATTAATTTGAGCTTATTTGATTAATTGCTTAACTTAATATTTTAGGTGACCTGATAGTATCCACTTTAAATGAAAACTGGAAATTTGTTATGCAGACCTTTGGAAAAGATTTCTTTGACGTGGCTATGGATATATTCTATAAAACAATCCATAAGTTTTTCGATAACATACCTACAAAGTACTTTGTAACTGATGATCTTACACCTTATGTTAAAAACTTATTAAAATAATAGAAATATTATTTATAATACTTGTATAATGTATATATTCATAAAATAATTCATGCAATTTTACATTTCGTTTTATTTCTGCAGTAATAGGACTACTAGAATCACGAAATTAAATCCAACTAAGATTCAATAACATAAAAATCGTAATAACAACTATATACTTAAGTAATCAGTTTTAAATTTAATACATTAGTTAGTTCTAGTAGTAATTAGCGCTAGAAATGGTTTTATTTATAAAATATAACAAAAACATTATATAAATAAACACTTGCACAGGCACACGAAATCGAACTTGCATAAACGAATGTACACACATAGAACGGATAGTAAATTGGGTCGAAAAATGTTTAAGCGGTAACCACGCGCCGGAAGATGAGACGACTTGTAAAAAGTCACTGTACCTAATCCACTGAGGGCATCGTTGTGGAGGAGGCCTCTGCATACTGCGTAGCCAGTAGAAGTCTTTCGATTGAGATTATTATCACCATTATAGTTATGTATGATATTATTTATAGTTATTTTAGAATTACTACTATAATTGCGAAACTTTGTATGTGTGTGAGTTACTGCTTTACCCAAAAATGGCTGAACAGGTTTGTTGAAATTTACTATATAGATAGACAATCTATTCTAATATTATAAGCAGACAGTTTCTTTGTTTGTACATGCTATCTCAGGAACAACTAATCCAGTTTGAAAAAATCTTTTTGCATTAAGTAGCCCGTTTTTGAGCTAGGCTATATGTCATCCCGGAAAAACGTACGGTTATTTTTTCTAGAGACGAGCCCGAAACGAAGTGAGGGTGAGTCGCTAGTGACCTGTAATACAAATTTACTCTCAGACGCACACTTTATTATAGTCAAAGGCAGCAAAAATATAATATATTCTTTACATAAAATAATTGTCGACAAAAGTAACTACACAAGATTTAATACTTACTTCATTTAAGGCAAGACATTAAGGCACTAATAAAACATAGCAGTTGAGGCTTTATTACCCGCGACCTTCATTATGACTAATTATACATAATACACGAGCACAAATAGTTCCTAGAAACGGAAAACCTTGTTAGAATGTTTTTGAACACTTTTAAGTTAAATCTCGTTTGTTTGTATGCAGGGGTCAGTTTTTAAGATTTACTAGACCGTTTTTAATAATATTTTAAGAATGGGCTCTATTTCTGAGTAGCATAGGCATAATAAATGACGTACCTACTATACATTCGAAGCGACGGGTGAAAAATACTTTCACACTAAATCGTATATTTTAGGTAAAGGTGTTGACTGTTGTTCTATAACTTAACTTTATAAAAAAGATTAATAAAGAATATTAATAAAAATAAAGAAGATTAATAAAAATAAAGATGATAAGACGAAAGTCCCGCTGCGTTTCTTTCACCAGTTCTTCTCAGGTCTGAGAAGTTCTTTCCGAACTGGTAGTATACTCATGGCGTTAGTAAAAAATTGTAATAATTTAATGCTGAATCAAAATGTTTTGAATTTGAATTTTAAAAAAATTGATTAAAGCGACTTAATATAATAACATATTAAGTTTCCTTAGAATACGAAGACAGATGACGAGGGTTATCGTATATAACCTATATCATGTGAACTATGAATATTGAGTTATATGCTAAACGTATGTATATTTACAAAACAAAAGGCTTATAATATTTAAAAATAATAGATACTTCATAACAAATTCAAATAATTATGTTCTAAATAAACCGACACGTTTGGCTCAGTGTGTAGTGATCCTACTTGCTATGCCAGCGGTTGCGGGTTCGAATCCCGCTGGGGGCATTCATTTGTGTGATGAACACGAATGTTTGTACTCCAGTCATGGGTGTTTATATTTTTAATATGTGTTTATTTAAAGTTATATATGTGTAGTTTATCAACTATCTGGTATCCATAACACAAACTTCGTAGCTTACCATGGAACTAGATGATCCTGTGTGTTAATGTCCCAAAAAAAACGCATAAACACAATGTAGACGTAAAACAATGCAGTTTCTGTTAAACATTATTGTGATTAAAGATAAGAATAGATAGAATGTGCTTTCGTACATTATTTATATATTTATATAAAAACTTTTTAAATAAAATTGAACCAAAAGAAGTGAAAAGTAATATAAACTTCTGACCTCAATAACTAAACTCCCTAACTGATGTAAGAAACTAAGAGATGAATCTCTTCAATTGTGAGTTGAGTTTTATGTTTTACGTCTAATTAACAAAATAATTAATAATAAACCTAAACCAAGAAACATCTGACGACCGGAACACTATAGATATAATAATAATATAATATCTTCATGATCGTTTTCGGTCACGGTAGCCAATCTTACTGAGACTAGCCAACTGCCCAGGATATATTATAGTGATCAAGTGTACAGACAGAAGGAAGAAAAAATTTGACAATGTCAATACAAAATTTATTGTGTAATCGATATTTATTTTAAAATATATCCAAAAATAACATTAATAATTGAATTAATAGTATAAAAAATGTTTTAAAACATAACAAAATCGAAAGTGCATAATATTTAACACCATTCAGACAATAAAGACAATAGCATTCATGATCGTTTTCGGTCACGGTAGCCAATCTTACTGAGACTAGCCAACTGCCCAGGATATATTATAGTGATCAAGTGTACAGACACAAGTACACTTTCTATTCCTTATATGTTCTTAAAGTCAAAGGGAAGATAATTCGACACGACCGGCGAGAGTTAAGCCGAAGAGAAATTACTCCGTTTTCTAAATTTAACCATATTTTTATGTTCTTTTACCAATTTAGGCTTTGTAAATAAAATTTTTGCATAATACGTCCTTTACTAATACAGTTTCTGAAAATGTAAGAATTTCATATAAGTATAGTACTTAAACATGTTGGATAAATTTAGATTTAATAGAAAAAACTTAGCTAAAAATATACATAAGTATAATGTATACAAAATACTATATTATGTACATGAAAAATTCTCATGCAAAGTAAAACTGTCGGAAGCCATGTTGAATAATTGCGATTAATTTTCTGCTTCACGAACATAAAATTAAAATTAATACTAAAAGAGATCTATTTTATATGTATATTTCTTCAATATAACAAGAAGTTCAATATAACAACCTTGGCTCTAGTGCTTATAAATTATAATCTAAGACATAACACAATATATTTGTTTCACAACTCTGATTATATGTATACTGTATACATATAATAAAATCGTAACTAGGTCAAATCTGTACATTAAATATTTTCTGAAAATCTTATTGAAATAGACATTATTATCGATACAAAGGCCGAATATATAGTTTTTAGAATTTTTGTCTGCCTCTCTGTCTGTCTGTTACCGTATCACAGAAAAACCACTGGAGGGATTTTGATTAAATTTGCTATGGTGATAGCTGGCTATCCAGGTCGACATATAGGATACTTTTTACCGCGAGAAAATGTCTCATTTCTGAGAGAAAATACAAAAACTGCAATGTAAGAGTATACTAATATGTAAAACCTAAGAATTTGGTTTTTGAATCTAAGCGCGGGTGGAGCCGCGGGCAATGCTGGTTATCTAATAAATTGTTTTCATAATAAAATTTGACAATATTAAGTCTTTTAAATTAGACGCAGTAACGACGTCTCATGTTACCGACAATTAGCTAGGACCTTATAATTAGAAGTAATATTATAATGCTGAGTCAAACGGTCCAATTAATTAGGCATAGGGATGAATCATCGCCCTCAAAAGGAGTAATGGACTGAGAAACATTTATAATTTAGAAAATGTCATGCAGATGACGATTTTATTTAAATGGTTCTATCATAACACCATATAATATTATACACTTATCTATACTAATATTATAAAGAGGTAAAGTTTGTGATCTTGTGAGTTTGTGAGTTTGTGACGTTGTAGGGGGTAATCTCTGGATCTACTGAACCGATTTTCAAAATTCTTTTACCAATAGAAAGCCACGTTCTTTCTGAGTGGCTATATATTAATCCTAAGATTGAAAAGGCTTTTTCGTGTTAGTCGGATTTGCAAAGTAAGTCGGAGAAAAAACGGTCGAACGAAAACGTTTCTTACGAACGTTGCCTTAACGATGAGAGATATATGATTATGTTCTAGAGAAAAGTTGTAGAGCTTAATAAAGCCTACAAAAAAGTCAGCGAAATTTAGCATGGTGATACCTTATATCCCCGGGCAACATCTCAGATATTTTTCATCCCGGAAAATTAAAGAGTTCCCGTGGGATAGTTAAAAAACTATAACAACTTATACAACTTAGTATACAAAAACTACTGATTGGATTTTAATGAAACTTTACAATAATATAGTTCATACATGATAAAAACAAATCATCTACTTTTCATCCTGGAAAATTATAGAGTTTCCGTGGGATAGTCAAAAAACTATAGTAACTTATACAGCTTAGTACATAAAAAGTACTGATTGGATTTTGATGAAACTTTACAATAATATACAGTGTAGTTCATACATCAGAATACCAAATAGGCTACTTTTTATCCCGGAAAAATGTACTGTTCCCGTGGGATAGATGTTTTTGTTTATTTGTAACGTATTATGTACACAACATAGACCCCAAAACAATAGTTATTAAGAATTGTCTGTTTGTCTGTTTGCCTGTATGTCTGTATTTGCGTGAGCGTTTCACGCGAAAAGTAACGTACCGATTTCAACGAAATTTGGTGAAGTGATTACTTATTACTCGAGTCAACATTTAGGATACCTTTTGTATGTATATATGTATTTATGTATGTATATATTTATGTATGTATGTATGTATGTATTCAGCCCTTTTAACGTCCCACTGCTGGGCACGGGCACTGGCCAAGTGCAGGTTGGCGGACTTCCCATGTCTTTTGAAACCTTGCTAGGTTCTCTCAGACATGCAGGTTTCCTCACGATGTTTTACTTCACCGTTAAGACAAGTGGTAATTGTATTAGAAATAATTCGCACATGAAAATA